AATCGAAAAATCTACATATACAGCAACATTTTCATCATTACTTATTTTTTCAAAATGAAACTCTTTGTAATGTTAAATTAATTACGATCACTTATACGTACTTACTTTATTCCAAAACAAATCTACTCTCGGCACAATTTTAATGTATTCAAATTCATTGAAAATGACTAATATATATTTCACCTTTCAGTTGGTTTTTTCTCATCAGTTGTTATGATTATATAATGATGCATATATTTATTTCTTTTTCTTATTTTGCTTCATATATTACCTTTGTGTGCGCCAAAACTTAATGTGTTGATATACAATGGTTCTTTATTTTTGCATTTAGATGAATAATTACAGAGACTTTTTTGGTCGAAAAGATAAAAGATATGGGTGTGAATGTGAGAGTGAAGATGTGACAGTAAATGTTACTAGAATACTTAAACCTATATTTTAATTGCCTATTCTCCTGAAAATCAGTCAAGATTGTTATTGTTGAAGGAATAAAGATCAAAATAATTCGTACCTTTCTATACAATTGAATAATGTTGAATGCAACGTAGTAAAGTGGTGTTTTGGCAGCGATGTGTAACATATATCTTCATTTAACGTACTTGTCCTTCGAAAAATTACTGCTAGTTATAACAGTTTGAGTTGTTTCTACATTATTCTTTCATATATTCACGGAAGAAATACAACACAAAATGTATGAAGAAGCGAAAACAGAAAGAACAAGTTAAGAATAGCTGATAAATAGCATGCGAATTGCAGCATTTCTATGTGCATGTAAAAAAGAGATGGAGAGAAAAAGATGAATAAAGAGAAGATATTGATGATAGAGAGAGCTACCGCTCACAGGATGAGGTATAATCGATGAATCCTTCACAATAGTGAAACTTCTTATTTTGTAAAAGGATTTTATATGTCAATAAGAATACATGTATCATCCAAGATAAAGAACATATATTCAGTTTGGGACAACCTTGAACCAAATTAAACAATGTGTTTCTAGTAACTCTAATGATCGTTATCGGTAGACTTGTTGTCAGAGAACTCATATTATTCTTCAGTTTCGGTCTTCTGTTGTGTCCAACTATGTTTGGTCATTTTGTCTATGCGTATTTCAATATCATATTCACGTACTACTGTCAAATACATGTTTTTAATATTTTCGACAGTTGTTTCGAAATCAACAACATTCTCTATTTTACTGCATTTTAAATTAGAACACAGCCCGAGTGCACATGTGTAATCTTTTTCTACAAATAAATTATTAACGTCTATGTCACTAGTACGATATTTGTTCTATTTCCATGTACGATCAACTAGAATCAAATCCATTGTAAAAGAAAAATGGCATTCATCTAGCATGCACATATAGCCACGCCAGAGTTTACAACAAAAGTGAACATTCAAGTTCATATTTTCGTGAGTATTCTAAAAATTGATCAATATTATAATCGTTGTCTGGCTAATAACAGGCTATATCATTTAGTAAAAATTCCTTATTCAAATGCAGTATCATTTGTTGACCATTTTTACTGTTATTGTAGCGAGTGTATGCAACGCATTTAGAGCGATTCGTATCCGTAGATGGTTTTGGTGAAAAACCACCCCGATTTTCTTTTAAAATTTTGCCAATTTGACGAATATGCAGTAACCTTGACCCATACTTGAATGACTTAACACCTGCCGTTAGTACTACATATTTTATTCAGATATTTTGTAGATTGATCAATGCGTGTCAAAACATATGCCACAACACGTCTACTCCAGGTAGAATATGGCTATGAACATCGCCTATTCTGGAGCACCCACACCAACTACTTCCATATTGAAGTAAATAAATTATTAAATTTCTGAATTTATTGACTTCAAACAAACTTCAAACAAAAGATCACTGACTGAAACAATATTTATCATTCGCTTATTTTGTTAGTGCCTCTGTTATTTAGATTGCTGTCTTTAGCCTTCGTCTAGTTTATTTCCCTTTGTTATTTTTTTTTCACATCGTGTTTTACAGACTTGTTCTCCTTCATTCGCTGATCTAGACTCTATGCCATTCGTAACTTCACTGTCACCTTTAGCATTGTCATTATATTTACTTCTACTTGATGATATCATATCAGAGCGTTTCCTCCGTGAACTGCTTGAGTCGACTGTCATCAATATGAGCTATGCGTTCTTCAATATCAAAATATGACCGACATATAGAAATATCTTAATCTATGCTGTGGGGCAGCTCCAGAATAATGGCAGAAGTTACCATTTTAAGTTGCAGCATTTGGCACAAAATATCCTAATTCATTTCCAACTATTGTCATATCTCCTTTAACAAAAACGACTAAAATACTAAATCGGCGCAGCATTTGTAACTTTTCAAGAGTACTTGTAGAATTTACAGGTCGAAATGTTTATAAAAGCAAGGATATGTGAAGGTGAAGAGGGTTTACTTGTTTAGACTTTAAGAATAAGGTTCTCTTGTTCTACCCTCAGGATAGATTACTCTACGGTCTCAGCAAAACAGTTTATTTCATATATTTACGAAAACATATTCGAGTAATTTTTTGTTCCAAAATCCCGCAAACAGGATTTTGGTATTTGTCCTCACAACAGGTGATAAACAGTTTTCTCGAATCTGATGAGTCGATAGTGTACTGTACAGCTCACGCTTATTTTTGTAGGCTTCTGTTACCCCCATTTATCGTTACTAGGTAACTGGTAATGAAACGGTAATGCTCTCCTCTATAAGAAGACATGTCAAACTCATGAATTCTTGCGAGGAGAATATGAAGGGCTTATGAAAATTTCGTATACAGCAAAAAGTAGTTTATTATACATTGTACGTTTCTAATAATCTTAAGGGACTAATTGCTTTATCTTTTCATTGCGGTTCATATTTGTGAAGTTTTTGGCCAGAAGCATTGTAGTGAAGTTTCATTTCAAATACGCTTGCTGCTTCGTATTTTTAAGGTTCTGACAATAGTAACATCTAGCATCTCGTTATGCTAAATAGTTTTGTACAGGGGACAAGAATCAGTTGTACATTGTACTCAGCTATTGAAACGTGTCATCAATATTTTAAATGAGTCGGACACAGAATCACGAGCTACAGAGACTCCAATATTAAACTATCGCTCACCACAGTCAATATTGACCTTCCTTATAACGTTTATTATACCAACACGGAAAATTTGATCGAAATTTAAATTGTTAAAGAAAAAAAAATGAAAGAATGCTTTTGTTTCGTTTATTCCTAAGCCTTTCAAATATAAAACGGAATTTCCACGGGAATAGTACTGCATAAGCTCAGTAGTCATTTTCAGCTTTGTTCGATCGTCTTGAAGTAGGCGACAATGTTCACTAAAGTAAGTTCAGGCAGTAAAAACTAAAGAAGATTGAGATATCTGACACACTTTTGGGAATACACTATTCATATCTTTCGATCCTTTTCTTATAAACTCCATTCATTTTAAGTGAGTTTCAGTCGCTAACTACACGTTCATTCTTTTTAAAAATCAAAAATCTATTTAACTATTTTGTTTTTGACAAAACATAGCAGTAGTCCGCTACCTGATGACTTTCTTTTTGTATAATTTTACTAAAGTTTTATATAGTTGACTGGCACTTGCAGCAAGTGATTTAAGGGGAATTCTTATTTTGAATAAGATGCTCTTCTGTTTAAATAGTAAGGATACAGTTAGTTTTTTGTTTAAGTCATGTAATACGTATGACACTAGAAGACTTGCTTCGTCTGTTATCTATTTCCATTAAGTGTTGTGGAGCACGTTTTTTTACATTTATCTTCCTCAAAGATTTCATCTGCTTCAAGTGTATTTCTTACTGTACACTTTCACTATTTCACATATGAGTACCAGTGTAACTTTGGGCTTTGATAATCGCAAGGGCATGTGTAATTTTTATTTGCATGAAAACAAGAACGTTATTCATTCTTTGAAAAATCTTATCTATTCCACATAAAATAAATATGATTACAAAAATTAAACATATATTTCATCTTTTTTACGTAGCAGAAGAAAAAACCTGAGTCATCATGATTTTTAAAAGAAGCAGCAACAGAACAACATCTGCGTAAATAGGATAGATACAAACACACAGACAGAACATGCATCATCCTATGTAATTATTTTCTTTTCGGTTAAAACTTGTCTGTTGTGAACGAAAAGAAGAATTACAACAAAATATCCCACACCCAAAAAGAAGTGATATTAACAAAAAGTTGTCTTGTGAAATTAAAAGTTAAATACGATTGAATATAGACATATAATTGTTATCCTCCTACATGAAGTGCTGTTTTGAGATATCATCGCTACAATAAAAAAAAACAGATCATTATTATTGTTGCATGGCTGTGCATTAACGATTGTTTATGTTAATTAACGGGCAAGATGCATTGTCTCTACAGACACATTTCAAAAACATATCGTTCATATCAACCGATAAATGATCCAGCGAGTATTGATGAGTTTCTTGAAACCAGATTCCATTAGAAATTTTTTCTGACAAGCTAGAATAGCTTTTAGGTAAAGTACGGTCGTCAACTGTCGAAATTAATCAGAAACGAATGGAATGTGCAGAAATTGTTGTTGGAAAGAAGTTAATTTTAAAATTACATATGCACCGAAGTCAAGAAATACACACTTAAATATCATTTGAAATGATTAATAAGAAACCAAAAACAAAAAAAAAATAAAGTTTTAGCTAGAGATGGGATCGGCTTATGTTTTTTCTGAACTGAATAGTAATGATCTAGTTTTTAAAAAGTTTGAATGGAACCTATTCCATCTCTGGTGTTAAATGTATGTTTCATTATTAAAAATAATTGATTTAGAAGTTGCAGCATCTGCTTAGAAAAAGCTATTCGATGTTAATAATCACAAGAAAATCGAAAACCTCGAATAATCTCAGTAATGCGTTTTTATTTGACAGACTTCGTGTTCAAATATGCTCTAATATAATGTTTTGTTTCACATACACCGTCTAAGAAATCTACATCATTTTTTTTTGGGTTTAGTTTTTACGGCAATCAATTTCAAATGTCGCCATTGTACAGTTCCACTTGTATATTCATCAAAATAATGATAGGCATTATCTGCATGATACCAATCACTTTCGATGAGTTTAGGTTCTTCAGATTCATTTGGTTGTTTTATACCTTCATATTTCCACCAACAATTATTAAAAGCACACGATGTTGGATTAACATATTTGGAACAAATTGGACATTTTGTTGTTTTGCTACTTGGATCTCTCAAAACATCAAACTCAGTGTACCCCATGGACATAATCACCTTTTGATTGCTAGCTTTACATGTTGAATTCTTACATATTCCTTCCAAACACAGACCAGGAGATGCTATTCGCCATTCTGGGGCAGTTTTTGCCCAATCTGTTCTTTTTAAACCTGCTTTATTACTAACATCAACAAAGTGTACCCCAAAGTTTGGATTACGACCCGTAAAGTCATTATAAGTCAAAGTAAGCATAGAATCTGGTCCTATACTATAATCCGAAAGGGTTTTATCATCTTCGTCGAGTGTATTTGTATTTAGAGCTAGAAGCAAGTTTTCAGGATCTTCCTCTTCCTTGGTCTTTTTAAGATAATAGTCTTTGAGTTGTCGAATAGTTGTTGTTTGTTCAACATCGAAGACATAGGTATTTGAACCTCGTATTGTTGTTGTAATATAAATCTGCATAAATTTACTATTAGTAAACTTCTATAAAAAAATAAAACAAAATAATGCATAAAATAATATTTAATTAAAATAATTTTCTTTTGTGATCACAGTTTTATTAACGACATACAGAATAGAAAAATAAGATGAATGTTTCGTAACAGACACATTTTATGTGTTTTCGAATGGACGACGATAGAAGGAAAAATTTTACGAGTTAAATATCTTCAAGAACGATCGAAGAAAATTTTCTACTATCATAAATAATTTTGGTTTACTTTGAAATCGTATTAAAATATAGTTTTGAACTTATTCGATAGAGAATTTAACTATATTTCTACAAAGTAACCAATGTTGTTTCTAGATATGAAGAGATTTTTTTTTTGACAGCGTGTTTTTTACGAATCGAGACGAATAGTCAAATATTTAACATCAAAAGATAGAAAAATTTCATACCCTACTCTATGGACGATCTTTGCAAGGGTTTTTGTACGATTGTTCAGTAGAAAAAGAGTTCGAAGTGAATTTTGATGGTAGTTTTGGATATATGAAGGAAAATAATATTTTCCAAATTTCAGATTTTCAATTTCAAAACGTTTTGATCTCAACTCTTTACTCCAAAGGTTTGAAAGAATGTTGATATTAGAAAAAAATATGTCTATAAATTGATTTCTGGTGTTAATAAATAAGAATCTGAAATGGCAAAACAAAAGAATTCTATTTAGTGATAACTCCATAATTAATTTAAATTGAAAAATCTATCTATACGACAACAATTTTGTCATTATTTGTTTTTTTTTTCAAAACGAATCTGTTCGTAATCCTAAATTAATTACGGTTAACTAAGCACACTTATTTTGTTCCAAAAACAAACTTACTTTCGTAATCATTTTTATGTATTAAAAGTCACTGAAAACAATTATTATATATTTCACCTGTCAGCTGGTTTTTTCCCTCTGTTGTTATGACTATATAGTGACGCATATATTTTATTTCTTTTTCTTATTTCAGTTCTTCAGTTACTTTTCTTTGTGTTCTGACGCAATGTATTGACATCCAAACTTTGTTTTGGTAAAAAATAAAAAGACTTGTTTTATAATATTTTTTATGTACTTCCATTCTATTGGTTAATTCAAGTATTACGAAAGTAAGTTTAGGCGACGAAGCTAAAAAAGACTATGCTATATTAGTTCTTGAGAGGGAATCACTCGGAAAAGGCATTAATCAGTTCGTCAAAGGAAATTAGAGCAGTATGCTAACAATTAGGTTGGTCCATTCAATTTTATATTCTTACATCCACACCATGAAAGGCTGTATCTCTCACCTTTACAGGACATTTTCATATAGAATGAGAGAGGATTGGAAAAATGACTTGACAGCATTTTTCTTTCCTTCTTGAGGTGAGCCGTTTTTTTTTTTTACACTACTTCATTGAAAATTTTCAGCAGCAATGAAATCTCAGTGGTTTTGCTTGTGTAAGACAACTTTGATCATGTTGCATTTCTTCAACAACAATACACGCGAATTCGTAGATGACTATGTCGGCAATCGACACCAGCTATTATTCACGTCTTTTGACGAAATCGAATTAAAAAGGGTGTCTTCGATACGATCATTGCGATGTACTATGCTCTTTGACTGAAGACATTATCTCATTCGTTTGAATTCTCTTAAATTATATGAATACGACTCGGTAGTTCATGTTGAAAGGTTCATCCATAGTCTCATGATTTCACTTATTGTTATCCTGATGAACCTATTTTCCTTCATATGAATTCGACATGCAATTACTTGGAATACTCTCCTGCCACTATCAATGATCTTCAGAGTTAAGCGCTCGACCAGGACCAATAGTGTAATTGTGAATCGGCTTCTATCTCTCTAAGACTGACTATGATACATAATGATTTTGATCAAAAGAATCAAAGTCCAGTTAACCAACATTTAATGAGCGAAACGCAATAACAAATAAAAGTAGACATGCATCGACATTCTTAGTTCATTCTTTTTTCTTTTTAACAAAATTGAGAACTTACTTTTTTTAGAATTAAAATTAAGATGTCTGAGAAAAAACAAACTTATCTATTACTTCGAAATTAAAGAGACGATTAACTAGCTGTTAACAATAAACAGTTAAACGACCTGACGAAACAGCATTTCTATCTCCTCATATGATTGTGATGTTTACATTTTTTAAGAAAAGAGTAATTTTCAAATTTCAGACAACCTTTTGCATGAATATCAAGGTGAGAACATAATAATTATTTGTATTATAATTTTTATCAATATCATCAATGAAAACAGCATGCTTAGAGTCTCATTCAGTCTTTTGAAAACTTATGAAATGTTGAAATGCACTGTTTCCTTCTTGATACTGACCATGGCAAGCTTCCAAACAGTTTTGTTCTCTAATTCCATTGAACTACAACTACTGTGATTTTTTAATTTCTATTGAAAATAAGAGCTGGCCATTAGATGAGACTTTTCTGAGATATATCAGATTACTCTAAGAATAAATTGAATTCTTCGATAATTCTGTCGGAAATATTTGCGAAACCCTAGACGATTGGATAAATAATACGTCTTGTGATAAAACAACCTTTTTCACTTTATACTTAATTATTTGTAGTACAAATATGGTTTGATTTAATTCGAATAATAATCTCAATATGGTGAAAGATTCATCGAAAGCATATTTAATAGGTGGCCTAATAAATATAATATTTTGCTCTATTATATTGGAAAATGTTTTCTTTCACTTTTATTAAAAAGTTCATGAAAGTTTTCATCTAAACTAGTTGAAAACGAGAAAGAAGTTTTGTCTAAAGCCGGCTTTGGTAAATAAAATAAATTAAAAAATCTCTTTCAATAAATGATGAATTTTATGAAGAAAATGATAATAATACTTTTTAAGAAAGAATTAAATTTGATATAAAAAAAAAACCGTTTCAAATCATCTATTGATTTGCATTGGTATTCACCAAAAATATTCTGAAAAAGATAATTTAGCTGTTGATCATCACATTTTTCGAGTTAAACAAGGGCAATGGTTTGGTCTTTTAGGATTAATTGAGTTAGTGTAGCTTTTTTGAGTTTTAATTAAATAAATGAATTATTTTTTTGTCTGTAAAAGATAAAGTTTCATTATTTAAAAATAATTGTTGATAAAAGAAAACTGCGAATGATTGTATTTCTATAAATGGTAACCTATTGAAGGAAAAATCTTCGAAGAAATTGGTCAAGATATTGGATTTCGTTCTAAATATGATTGTATTATTGATAATTTAATCTTAAAGTTACTTTTTGTTTATTTGGATATTTACATTGAATTATTAATCATAAGCCACAACAAACAATTCAAAGTACTTCGCAATTATTTTTATTTAATTTATTTCCTAAACAGTTAAGCGAAGGAACTACTATAAAAATGCCACATCCATACTCTACATAGTCACTAAAACATTTACAATATTATTTTGATTTCATCGAGTGGTACATACAGTTTTCTAAATGTGATTGTGAACACGTTAAATATTAGAATTATATTTATATCATATGTAACAATTATTGACGACCGCTCATATAAGAAATCCAAAACAACGTGTTTCAATGAGTTCTACAATTCGTTATTGTACTGAAATCTCGGTAAAAAAACGCAATTTCATTCGCTTAGTCGTCAAATCATTTTAATGTTTTCAACATCAACTCGCTTTTCTTGCTTTTCAACAAGATAATATATATATACCGGTGATCCTCTCAATATATTTATTTCAAAGTAAGAAATGTGATAGCATTGTTTTGTAATATAAAATTCAGTTATATTATCAAATAAAATAACTTTTCTCAGATTTAATAATTTGGCATGTTATGATAATTCTCCGCTTTTATTCTAATTAATTGATTAAGATTAAAATGTGATGCTTCGTTTGTTTAAAACAACTTCAGACATAAAATAATAGACAACTATTGAACCGAAATAAATGAGATACTAAATGGAGGTGTGTGCGAGTGCGTGTGGAAGTCGGTCGTATGAACGTTCGTGAACGAGTTTTTGGATGTGGTTATGGCGTGTTGGTATGGTACGCGCGGTGTGAGTGTGGTTGTGAATATGGGTGAGTCAATGTGAGTGGTTGTTGCATTGACGTAGCATCTTGTCGTGGATGACTCTTTGGGTTCAGACCGGTAGAAAGAAAAACTCTCATTAACAAACGCTTAGGAGATGGTGTGTTGATATTGATTAGGCCGCAGGTTTGGCTGATAAGAATGCTCTTAATGATATGGATCCTTACGCGCACCGACATCCAGATCTCTTGATCACTACAAATCTATCTAGCTCGAAAAAAATTAGAAAAACAACTGTCTACAAAAAGTGATTGGATATCCATGAATTCATTCATATACAGAAGATATAAGTATATAAGATGTCCAGAAAATCACTAGACAAAGAAAAACTTTGAATATCTTCGCCATATTTTGACTATATGGGCTGATATTTTTGCCACTGATAAAGAAATGTTCATAGCTCACTTTCATAAGAGAAACGTTGTTGAAAATCGTTTTAAAGCATTTACAATTGATTTTAACAAAGGCTGTAACCTTTCACGAGTTTTGAAAAAATAATATATTTATTCCCTGAGCCAAGAATAAGCGACATTTAATTTTTTAATTAATTGTTCACAATAGTGTCGTTTGGGCTCATATTTATACTATAGATACGTATCTTGTTACACAGTGTACTCTGAAGATTTCGGCCATAAACAGCCAGAATATGTTGACAAAACAACAACATTAATTTTTCATAATTCGTGAAATGTTATAGATCTTTTGTTGAAGTCAGTTGTACAACTTAAAAACAATTTTTGAGAAAGTTTCTCTTATAAAAATGAACTATGAATAGTTCTTTATCAGTGGTAAAAATATCAACCCATATGGTCTCAATATGACCAAGATATTCAAATTTTCTTTGTCTAGTGATTTTCTGGACACCGTATATACGGATGGATTCTTTAAATAAGTCTCTGCTGTAAGACATATAAGTTTTGTATTAGTTTTTAATTCACTCGTGTCAGGAAGTTCAGTCTTCAAAATCTTATTCTCGATGTTTCCAGAGAAGTTGTAAAGATGTGAAAAGTTCCCCTTTCGTTGGAACATTTTCAAGGTAGATTGTGTGTTGACCATTTGCTTTGTCAACTTCAATGTCCGTGACATGAAACAGTGTCATTGGTAAAACGAGGACCTCATGTTCGTCTTCAAAGTCAGATATCGAAAGTAGAGTATCAGAGAAACGAAAGAGTTGAATAGCTGTGTCACATTTTTCTGAAAAGTTGAACACCATCAAAACAGGAATCGTGTCAGGAGACGAAGTATCAATAAAGCGACAAGCCACGTCCTGATCGACAGACGTTGAACAGAAACTATCTGTTATTAGGATGCTACCTTTATGTTTCAAAGCCCATTGATATGCTCGTAGATCCTGTCGAGTCATATTCAAACCACGAAATGAACGACCTTGATATGCACGTTTTATTAAACCATCCAGCTTAAAAAGAAGTGGAATTAATAAGCAATGATTCCCTTGACCCATACCAAGGTTCTTATAAAAGGGTGTCTCAAGTGAATAAAGGCGCAAGAGATGCTCAACATTCTTAGTTTTTACATATTTCGAGACGAGTTCGCATGCTTTCTGATATTCAGAATGTGATGGAGTAATATGCTCATCAATAAGACGTTGTAAAGCTTCTGCAGCTGTACTTTCATTGTATATCTGATTGAAATCATCTTTGTCACGAATTATACGACGGAATAATGGTCGCAAAGTTGATGATGAAGCCATTGTTTTTGCAATATGGCAGACATATCGTTGGAAATGAATCTTCTCCTCGTCATTTTCTCCGTCAACCCAATCGTTTGGCGCCTTATCGTTGTCGTCGTCATCTTCCGTCTGTTCGTCAGCAGTCAAAGTAAACAGATGCTCAGCATCGGTAGTGGTGTCACTGCAAAATCGTTGTGAATTCGATGAACGACGGAATAGTTGACGAATCTCGTCAGTAGCTGCCTCGTCGTATGCAGTGAGACCATGTCGATTTCTTCGATGGCGAATAACTCCGCATTGATGAAGAAGTAGTCGAACAATGTCAGTATGGCCGAAAAAAGAAGCTGCATGTAGAGCTGTGCTACCATTCGGTTCCAGACAATTGATATCAATGTAGGTATTTGACGCAATAATTTTTTGAACGGTATCGATGTCACCATTTCGGCAAGCCCAATAGAGATCACTGGCTTCGCCCTGCTTAGGTCGACGAAGAATTGATACCTCCTTCTTCTCTTCGATGCTTGTACTGGTTCCCATTCGTTGTATGCTTCACTAAGAAGACGAAAGAAAATGATTTTAGTTCTTGGCAAAGCAAAACAAGCAGCAATTTAAGCATGGGAGTGCCGATGAGCAGAAGTGCCTACTGTCACCTTTACACCCGAAATTGGACGTAAACAATGATGCGCTTGTAAGCGTCAATCTTCTCTTCGCTTACATCCATCTCACAGTCACACACACATTATCATTTTAACACAACGCTTGCTATTCCTATGTTTCTTAAAAAGTCATTGACACTAATGAAACGAAAGACTGCATCTCTCACCTTTAGAGGACATTTTTTATATAGAATGAAAGAAAATTGTTGATACAGAATGGAGAGAAAAGCGAAAGATAAGGAAAGAACGAGAGGGCGTTGAAAAAGTAAGATGAATGTGTTTTTTCTTTCGTTCTTGAGATATACGATTTGTTTTTCTTCTTTACAATACCTCTTGAGTTTTTCAGCAGTCATAAAATCTCTGGAGCTTTGATTCTTTAAGGTAACCTTCATCATGTTGTGTTTCTTTATTAAAAGTACACTTAAATTCGTATATGACTACGTCAGCAATTGATGCAAGCCATTAATGAAAGAATATTGTAGAAGGGTTGCAACGCTCTTACTTTTGAATATCATTGAAAAATACTTTTCACTCAGAGTCGTCTGAGAAGCCCATATCCATCATATTGCTTCCTTTAATACAAAAAGCATGAAAGGAGATTCTTTTTCAAAGTGGTACGGTTTCAATTAAAACGAGAACGTATTTGTAATTGTTTTCATGGTTTTTTTTCAGAAGACTTTTTTTGCCCCACTACAAAACAAGGGAAGACATTCATTATCTGTCATATAAAAAATGGCATCATTTAGGATGTGGGTGTAGGTATGCGGATCTCTGATAGCATGTAAAGGAAACACGCTTCAGCACTAACATCCACACACTCTACTGAAAAAAACAGACCACTATCAGAAAAAGCAACATTGGTTGCTTTGTAGAGAAACAAATTCTGTACTTATTGAATTCCGAACTACGTTTAAACACTAGTTTCAAATAAGTCAAATATAGAAAGGAAAACATGTTCATTTATTATACGCCATCTATTAAATTGCAATGTATCATTAGTTCTTAGCATGTATCAGACTTATGACATAATGTATAAATATATTCTCTTTAGGGACAAAAACATAATTTTCATTCGTATACAACCATTTCTGAAAATTTGGATCGAATTAATTCAACACAGGCTCATGTTGAATACTTCCAAGAAGATAAGAATAAATAGAATTATTCGATTAGTTAACTTTCTTAAAAAAATCTCATCAACTAAATTACTTACCTAGTGTTGAATATGAATTTCAGAAATACTTTATATGTAAAGTAACTTTTACCTTAAATGAATAATAGTCAAATGATAAAATACGAATGTAGTAACCTTAAATGACAAAAGAAAAAGAATTTTATTTAATAATAACTACATAGTTGATTAGTATAAAAAAATCTACTTATACAGTACCATTTTCGTCATTATTTATTTTTTTCAAAATGAAACTCTTTGTAATGTTCAATTAATTACAGTCAACTATACGCACTTACTTTGTTCTAAGACAAATTTATTTTTGTAACAACTTTTATTTATAAAAATTCAATGAAAACGATTAATATAGGTTTCCTTTTTGGTTCGTTTTTTTCCATATATTGTTACGATCAAATAGTGACGCATATATTTATTTCACTTGACAAATTATCTTCCTTTGTGTTATAACTCATTCTATCGACATAGAACGACTCTTCATATATATTTTTAGATTAACAATCAAAGAGATCTTTTTTGGTCAAGGTATAGATGGATGTATGTGTACGTAGGACTGAAGAAAACATCTAGACTTACATCCACCACCACATTCTACTACAACACTATGGTTGATCTGTAATATGTTCGACGTTTTTTGTTTATCTACAAAATGCTTTGATAGCTCTATACGGTAACGAATGTCACTGTTACAAAAATAAACTTTTCGGGCATGTTTCTCTATTGAAGGTTACGCTACGTTACATATAAAATGTAGTGTACACCCGAGATAACATTCCTTCTATTTTTCAGAGATGGAAAAGATTTTAGAAGTGTTATAGTACATCGGCAAGCCTACATCAATCATCTTGATCATATTTCAATTTTGAATAAACACACTTGCACGTCTTTTAACAACATTGAATAAAAACAGATGTCGCCAACTCAGTGATTGCAATGCAGTACGCTCGTTGGGTGAGGATATTGTCCAGTTCGTGGATAATTTTCGAAAATTAAGTATGCAAATCTCATTCGTTTCAATTTTCATAAATTAAAAGAATAAGAGAATGGATAGGTTTTCAAGATCATTTCTTTTTTTATTGTTGGTCGTACTTCAACTAAAAAATATATGATTATGTGGCAAAGAATTGATCATATCGCTTATCTAATTCTTCATTCGAGTTTTTCAACGGTGAAAAAAACAAGAGGATTTTGTTTAGTTCTCACTCTCTTTGTGTCTTCCTAGATTTCGATCATTGATCAAAGAAAAGAATCGAGTTTTGAACAATTAAATCTCAATTCTATAAGGCATTGAATTGTTTGTGTTCATCCTGTAGTTCAATCAGTGTCTGTAGACAAGTTCAATTAATATAATTACTGTTTTTGATATTGTTCTGCAAGGTAGCAGTCTTTAAAATGGAAAAATTCGTCAGAGCTAACGGCTAGTCGAATTGATAATGAAGAAAGCTAAAAAAAACACAACTTACTACGTTGCTGCCATCACCTAATACAACATAGTCTTCGCGCAAAATCGAAAATCGGTCTCAGTTTATCTTTAATCGAGCATTATTCTCTATTTGAAATGCATCATTATTCTCGAATTGCATTTAGATGAGTTTTATTCATGATGAATTGCAAGGATCAACACCAGATTAGATATTTTAACCATATCCTAAGCTGCAACTCTCACAATCTTGACAAATCATAAAGTAGCAAATAAAGTTCGATTCAAAGACCATTTGATTTATGTTAATATTGAGAATTTCTTCTTGTCGTCTTCTGATTGACAACAATCCATCGATTTCAGTGTGTGAACAGGTCCATGAAAATCTATTTGATCATATCAAATTACTAGTTTTCAATGAGATTCTTTATAGATTGAGCACAAATGCCAATGAGTTAATCAAGAGTTTGTTGTTTATTAATTGTTTCTGCGTCCAAGATAACTTTCATACGTTGATCATATTTTTGTTCGACAAAGATACATGGCAATGGTATATCCTTGAGACTAGAATATTCTTTTCCGAATTCATCACGATGTAAAAATATAATGTCAAAAGATAAGTCTGAAATAAAGGCATGCCATTTTTTATGCATTCCTGTATTGCCATATGCCAATGCACATAGTTGACAATTATATGTTGATGGACGTACAAACTTATGAGTCTAATCCTTCAACATATTTATAAAAGGCCAGAATCAGCATTGCAGACAAATAGAAGGCAATCTTTAAATGATGAAGCCGGCTGATCGGTGAAGATTTGTGTGTTTGTTGCCATTATGATAATGACCTACAAAATTTAAGTTACTTAGTTAGTCCTTTATGATCGAGAAACGTGCAATAGCAAAAACAATCATCTGTGGAGTGTTCAAGTGAGTTCTGGAATCAATTATCATTCAGTCAGCTATGGCCAAAGTCAGGTTCTAACATTGATGTTTAAACAATGATACAATCCGATATTTATCCACTGCTTACTTTGTTAAGAAGTGGAGAGGACATATCAACATTCCCAAGGTTCTGGTGCTTATTAAAATTAGATGGACCTCTTAGGATGAGACAAACTTTCTTCAGTTATTACCTGCTTTAACTTAAAATCGATATTTAACAGCTACGAATGTTGCTGCTTGTTCGATGAAGACTTTGATCATCAAAAGAATTCAAATTGGTCGCTTTCGAAGCAGTCTCCTATTCTATTTAATACTCTTATGGAAATGAAACAATAGCATTCTCAAAACTATAAATCACATTTTCATTTGACTTTTTGTTTTTCTACCTGTTTTGTTTTATGAACATTCTTGTCGATAACCTCAAGAAACAATCACTCAAAGTAAGTGCAGTAAAAGAAATCATTCAAGAAATACCGAAAGTATGAAAAACAGAAAATAAGAACATGTAGATAAATAACATGAACTGAATAAAGATAGGTCTGTTAACCTGACCACATGCCGGCACCGTTAATATGAGACAAGAAAGAGAGCGTTGGAATATTCATCTCATATTGGTGATCAACATACATACTCTTCTTTTCTATCTAGAATTTCACGGAATAAATGCTTCTGTCTCAAATTATGTTCTATATTGGAAGTATGCTGCACGCTATTAAATATGAAAACAGAAATATGCGACATGTTCTCAAATGTCAGAAAGATAGATCTCCTTTATTTTACATACATTCGATAGATGTATCATATAGATAATGGTATTTCAATTCCAACAATCAGATAATTATGCCAGAAAACAAGCTTCTAGAGTGTTTTGGTGAAAATAAATACTTTTAAAAATTATGTATAAAATGAAATAAGAATTTCTCAATTATGTAGGATAAGGAATAATATTTTCCAGGAGGAACGGGCATAGCTATCATTTCAAATGAGATAAATAAAAAGAATTTTATTAGAAATAAAAACTCATGAGAAATGGCATTTACCACCAATACCAATGTTATACATTAACCGTTATGAAGAATATCTCATATTCAACTGTCAAAACTTCTACAATGTTGTAGAATGTAATCGCCATGATCTATCAGTCATCAGTCATGAGACAGAAGAAAAGGAATCTTTCAAACAAACTAAATATGACATTGTTGACATGATTACAAAGTGTGGCTTTGATTTACAAGATATGTCTGTTCTGTTTCGTTTTGTTGTCTTTTGATGTTCCTCATTAAGATATAGATGACGAGAATGTAGATATGGGTCCGGGTATATAGATGTAAGCATAGGCAATTCGTGCAGATCACTTCTTCAGTACCCAGCCACACCCTCTATCAGCTAATAATTAGCAATCGAAATGAAATTCAAAAGCAGACATGACAAAATTCACTAATACGAGAACCCTATCAATACATATTTACATGTGTTTAAACAATGCTGTCGATTGATTATTTAATTATCGATGTAATTAGTTATCTATTATCAGTTGACTTCAAAGCTATAGTGAATAGCATAAACTTTTCTAAAAGATTGATGCCAATTAAAAATGTGCAGTTTCGGTGAAACTATTGAATTATTAACAGTAATACTACTAAACTGACTACGCTAAATCACTCATTCTTTCTTAACTTTTCCTTTCATACACGTCTTTTCTTCATCGAGCAGCTGTAAAAACTGGCTGCAGTCTAACTAAGTAAAACACAATGGAAAAAGAATGACTAATAGAAGTTATTGGATTTTTCGAATAAATTTTTCATAATTTTTAAGATTTAATTAGACGTGAAAGATTTAACAAGATTTTTTTGAACTTCATATCATTTTTTGAGACTGAAATCCGTTGATTCCCTATTGATAATACGTCACGTCGTTTAAACGAAAACTGTTTACTTTTATTCGAAAAGCAAATATTTTAGAATGCATTTTACATCAGCTGTATAATGAACCTTGGTAATTTGGAAAATTTTGTTCTCATGTAGCTTGACAATCACAATGAAAATGGAATTGAATAAAGAACTGAGCCTTTTGAAGTCGCGTCAGTGGTGGAGTTAGGGAAGAGTCGATTGTCCTTAATACAAAAAGAAAATCTTCGGTTTTTCCCAGCAGAAAAAGTTAAAAAATAACCTGATATTATGTTTCATGATCATGATAACCCCTAGTTTCCACTGAGTCGCCGCACATCATAAAAATTCTAGATCTGCCACTGAATCTCATGAAACCTTACAAAGTTTCACAAAATCGTTTGAAGTTTCGGAGTCATCTGTTTCCTCCTCAGTGCCATAACTACCTTTTAGTACTTCCACAAGTAATTAAAATTACTGTTTTTCTTATAAATATACTTATATTCACTTGAAAATGGTTCACATATTAGTACTCTATTTACTTAATAGTGACTTTTTTTGCACCAAAAATTTCACATTCCTATATCTTCAAATTTTATTTAATAAAATTTAAAAATAATCTTGACAAGAGCATTGTTCACTGATATCGAAATGATGAAAACGATTAGCATCACGAATAATGATTGGACGTTGACGACGTTTAGCTATTAATTTTACAGTTGAATCTGTTAAGCAAACAAACTGAAAGTTTAAAAATAAACGATAAAAAAGTGAAGTAACTTACGACAATCTCCACATATACGAAGATTTTTAGTAACTGGAATAAGATTTGGAATTGGCTGTTGGATAAAATTGAAAGCTATAGCTAATTTTTCATTATGACCACATAAAACTGATTCTATACTTTCATCATCATTTATTTCACGAGTAATCCATCTTGAGTCATATTGATGTCCGTTTTCTTTAAGTTCAGCAGACATGCGTGCGATTTCATTGTATATTTCTTTTGATTGAGGATGAGTATCAGAGGTCCAACCAGGCCACTAGGCCTGCCTGCCTGCCTGTCACAGGCACAGGCCACGTTTTTTAGGCCTGGCCTATGACAGGCAGGCCAGGCCGACCCCTCAACCAGGCCAGGCAGGCCGCTTAAAACACCAGGCCGCCTGGCCTGT